TCCTTTTTACTCTTCATTAAATAACAGAAACCATATCTAGAATAATGATCCATTATACTTAATATATAACGAGCACCTCCCACACTTGGTTTTTTTAGGACCTATAATATCAGCAAATACGACCTCTAGAGGCTCCTTAGTTTTAAATCCATTAATTCTATTTGCTGGTATTACCTTGCTTTTTTCTTGACTGCAAGCATTGCAGTGCAAATACTTACTGCAAGGCTTCAGTTTTATACCTTTAGATAGTTCAACCGTTTGCTTGAGCATTTTAAAATTTATATGCCCTAAATGTCTGTGTAACAAATGTATGCATTCATCATGAGGTTTAACGTTATTATACACTGTGTTAGCCACCTCTGATTGATTATCATGTAACACATACAATTCACCTTTTAAAGTTGCAGTCACTTTTTTACCTTCCTTTTCTATTATGCAGTTTTCTCCCCTAAAGGTAACTACATAACCTAGTTTAATCAAAACTCTAACCGAAAGCAAATTAAACTTAAGTTGTGGTACATATAACATTTTTACATTTTCTTGTATGCAAGAACAATGTGCAGTACCTTCACCTTTTGCTTTAATTTTCTAGCCATTAGCTAACGATATCTGCTGTGAACTCATGGACATCTTAATAAATCTTTTCTTATCTTTCGTTATGCAGTGCGATGCTCCACTATCTACCACCCAAAAATTATTATTGTTCACAGTTTGGTTGCTATACATGGCTAACTCTAAGCATTTTTTATCCTTTTGATGCCTTTTTGCATTCTGGCTGGCATTGTGGTGTTTTGCTTTCTTGCAGAATCTAGCCAAATGTCTTTTTCTTCCACAATTAAAACATTTTCTAATTGTGTAGGCTGACGAAGATAATTCCTCTTCTTGTGGTTGTTCCCTTCTGAGTTGATCCCTTTCAAGCCTTCTCCTGGCTTCTTCAATTAATCTGCCAGTAATGTCAGTTAATGTGAGGTTATCTTTTGGCAGTACTTCCAGCGAAGTTACATAGTCGTCATAGCTCTCATCTAACGAAGACAAAATTATATAAACCTGATGCAATTCAGTGAAGATAAGTTCTTTTTCATGCAGTTCCTGAAAAATCCTCTTCATAGTGTTTATATGAGTCAACATGTCTCCATTCTTTTGAAGATGTGTTCTGAACAGCTTCTGTGTAAGATTTATATGTGCTCCTACACTGTCTCGAACATAAATCTTCCTTAAATTCTCCCAAGACTTAGCAGCTGTTTCTTCTCCACGAATATGGACAAGCTGCTGGTCACAGAGTGTCAGTCCTATTATACAGAGAGCTTGCTCATTCTTCAGTTTATATTCTTGTATTTTCTGGGCATCATCTTCATCCTCTGGATCCCAAGCATCTACCTCTGGTGGGTTTTGAATTATACTCCACAAACCTTCTCTACGTAGAAGTAGGCTGCATTTCATAGACCATGAAACATAGTTTGTTCCATCCAGTTTGGATATTAGAGACAAACTTGGTAAATTGACTTGTGCCATCTTTCTCTGGATATTAAACTATAATTAATAAAACACAGCTGTCTGTTTACAGTATTGTGTAACTACACTAACACTCACTTTATATAAGCCTGTTATATCCTGGTTAGTCTGACTGTGCAGCTGGGCCCATAACCAGTGTTAGGGATACACCCTAGCAGAATCTGCACGGCAGTCAGGCAGGCAGGCAAAATATGTGACATAAACGTTTTTGTAGCTTACACTCAGTAAAACAGATACACTGTGCTAGTTAAATAGTTTATTCCAGTAAGAGTTATAGCATAGTCAAACAGTCCATATATCATTCACTAATTCAGTCCATCCAGGGATTATTCAGTTGCAAATTCCAGTGTCAAAAAAGAGAGGTCAGTAAACTTACAAATATCAGTCCAGTAATATATCTCCTCTCAGTAGAGATATGAAGAAGTCAAAAACTCCTCTCTTCCTTCAGCAACTCAGCAGTAGGGGAAACACGCAGTTAACAAACCATCAATTCATCAAACCAGGCAATCATCAGCAATCGTCAGGTTCTCTTGCTCCCTCTTATGGCGGTTTCACACCGCACCCAAAATTACATGCTTTGCAGTTTAAAGTGACACACACTTAAACTTACAATCATAGTTTATATATATTATTTTACCCAAACTACATTAGGTAACCTTGTTATTCCTAACAGAAATATAGGATGACAAAGATGTGTTTGGATATGTTAGCTGCCTGGAGTTATTTGTAAAAATAATAAAGGTGGGATATAAACAAACTAACAAATGCAATAGAGATATAAATATTTGTATGTGTATGTTTATGTACTAGAGAAGGGACACAAAGGAATAAAAATATCCAGGTTTTCCTTCATGAACCTTAAAGTTACTGTTTTTTGAAAAGCCACATGATGAATTAATTCCTTGCTTCTGCATTGTGGGGTGGGGAGTGAGTGTGGGATTCCAGACTGGCTAAGAAACTGTTACAGAACATTAAAAATAAAAGATAATGTGGCTGCAGCAGCAACCAGTAGCCCTGAATCAGCCACAGCTTTCCAAATGTCATGCTTTTGGGAATCATGGGATCCAGATTTTGTACACACTCTATAAGTTAGTCCGTTTGAGGTACCTAGATTCAAAAAGTATGGTCCTAGGATGCCCCATATTTCCCATGTAAAGATCATGAAACAGGAGTTTTAGTAGTATAGATGTTGTATATAAATAGCAAAACTGTCTTCCTTGTGAGAATATTTAGCAAACTATACTACAAAACATTCATAGGTAAATTGAAGGAGGCTGTTGACCTTCATTTGCTTCTCTTTGAAAATTAGCTTATTGGGAAACTATAAATTTCGTCTGCTCTCTAGTATGAGGAGTCTCTAAAGAGGGCTGTTGCCATAGCACGTCCATTGTGTAGCCATCATTCTAGCCAGGTAATTTGCAGAAAATTTAATCAAGTAAGCTTAAATAAACTTAATTGTGTGGCCTCTAGTGTTTGCTGTACACCTGAGTTGTTCCTATGTTGATTTTTTTTTTTTTTGTAGTTGAATGGTTTTTACTCCTTGATAGCCACTTCAGTAGCAAAACCTACAGCATATGAATAGCATTATGCATTACTCTTTGTAGTCATGACATCTATACAGAAAAGGCTACAAAGGAGAGGTTGAAATGAGAGGATAAAATGACTGGTAGTGGAGATAGTGTATAATTGGGTAAAATAACTGAAATAATTGAAAATTATATTAAATACAAGCTAGTTTTTAAGTATTGCAGTAGAGACTTTTTGTATTGTATAAGTATTTCAAAGCAAGCATGTTAAAGAAGAATGTAATACAGGGAGTCCTCGACTTAACGACTATAATTGAGCTCAAAATTTCTATTGTTAAGTGAGACATTTGTAAAGTGAGTTTTGCTCCCATTTTATGACCTTGCTTGCCAAGGTTGTTAAGTGAATCTGACCTCCCCATTAACTTTGCTTGTCAGAGGATCAGAAAAGATGATCACATGATCCCGGGACACTGGAACCATCATAAATATGAGTCAGTTGCGAAGCATCTGAATTTTGATCATGCTGCATTGGTTGTGTGAAAAATAGAAAGTCACTTTTTTCAGTGCCATTTTAACTTTGAACTGGTCATTAAGCAAACTTGTAAGTCAAAGACCACCTATGCTACAATTAAAATATAGCTTTGTATTTTAACTTTCAGTAACTTTCAGTAAGCAAAGTACGTTAAAACTGTGAAGAATTTTCTTTAAAAAATGTGAGAATGCATAGTTAAAGAAATTGGGCCTTCTACATCATAAGGTAGAACAAAGAGGACCTTGTAGACCATTTCTCCTGAAGGTTCTCTGCCCATTTCTCTCTGATGGAAGATAAGAATTTACCTTAAAGTATCCCCTAAGTTAGATGTCTTTGTTTACATGATTTTCTTATTGCATATCTACTCCCAATGTCTTAGTGTATCAAGTAGGGCAAAATGTCTGTAAATGTCCTTCGTCAGCTTTAGCTTATAGGAGAGTAAGTTGTCCTGTTTTAATATAGTTGACTAACAAAGAGTTCTGTATAGAAATTTGTCTTTTTAGTATGGAAAAAATATCTACACATTGATAATGGAGTATGCATTTCTAATCTTCAGAATATAGGAAGTTTTTCATTTGGGCACTATTCATCTGACATACCAATTTGGATATCTTGAGAGAGTTTTTGCAGAAAGTTTATTTATGCATGTGGGAAGTCTTTTATCTAAAATCTGTCTAGAATAATGCATTGACTTATGTACAAGAAGGAAAAAGAAGGTTGCTTTTTGAAATTTCAGAGGTAAAGAATCAAATGTACATTACATTAAATTGTAATGTGTTTGGTTGCTTTTTTGGCTTTGCAAGATCAATGAATTCCTCAAGGGATAAATCATGCTATTATGTTCCTCCTAGTAGACTATCCCATCCCTTATATATTGTCAGCTGGCCAGTATCTAAATACTGATATTCAAATAGATTCCTCTGCTGCCTTAAATTACTGAAATAAATCAACACCTTTGACAAAATATGGGGAAGAGCCAAATTCAATGTTCTTATTTAATTTTTGATATCTCCAGAGGAGGAGGAGCAGGGGAAGACAACTTGAAATATGAAATGTATTTATCTAAGAGACAAACTCTCAGCAATAGTTAACTGTCAGACTGATGGTCTGACAACACATATAAATTGTCTTATACAAATTGTTTACAGAATAAACAATCTTCACATTATTGTTTTGCAGATTGCCCCAATGGAAGATAATTATGCCAGCTTTTTTGACCAAAATTTCCATACTGAACTGAAGGAAATGCTTTCTTAATAAATTTCATAATGAAAGTCTCATTTATGCAGATGAAGGAAGAGACCTGTGGCAATAGGATTAATTATGTTGTTAAAGTAAATGGGTTTGGTTTTTAAAAGCATCTGGCAGTTTCAAGCATGCCATCAGTGGCCTTTCAATTACCATAATTGCATTCTTGCTTTCATCTATAGATTTTGGGATTTCTCCAAGCCTGACCCTCTGCTTGAAACTGTGGAGCATCATACGGAGTTTACTTGTGGCCTAGATTTAAGTTTGCATGATTCAGGTCAGGTAAGAAAATAAGAGAACTCAATTTTGTTTTATGTGAATGTAAACCCATTATGTGTAGCAGCTCTTTTGAAATCTGCAATTTTAAGTAAGAATATGCAAAACTAAAACAATAGAATCAACCAGCAACAAATTCCTGTAATCAACTGTCAGTCAGCAATCCATATGGCCCTAAAGATTTTAACTCATTTAGCATCAATTGCATATCCTTGTGGAGACAGCTGAGCTAAAAAAAATAGATAATTGTGTCTTTTCTTTTTGATTGCTACTTTTTGTCATTTTCATTGAGTGCTGAAGTATTTATTTATTTTCCCTTTTATAGATGAAATTTTTTACTTTTATTTAATTCCTTTCCTTTTCTTGGAGATTCCAAGGTCTTGTCATTCTTGGCATCCTTTATTAATTTCAGCTGATTCTAAAGATTGGCTTTTCTGATACTATTTCTACAATTCAGACTACTGTATGTATTTTAGTGATTTATGTCTCTTTCCAACTCCTCTACATGTCCTTTGTGACTTTCAAATTTTCACTAAGCATTTCTCATTAGAATTGCTTCCAGTGATGTTTTTCATAGAGTAAAACTAGTTACCAGATTTTGGTAGATGGACAACATTTGTGTCACGATGTTTCCACAAAATAATAAATCTATTTTGTATCCCAAATAGTCTAGGTGATTAATTAAATTTATTATTTTCATCAGTTTACACAATGATAGTTAGAAAAATGTTAGTTACAAACTTTACATTGATTTATTTCATTTGCACGCATACCTACAGTTGTGACAAAAATGATATAAGTTAACACAATAACATTAATTCAGATTTGAGATAGGTAGTAGAATCAGATAAGCCTGTCTCCAAATGGTTTGTTACATTGAGGTTTTGCTGTAATATATCTTTTTAAAGAGATTCCCATTTTTATTGGGCTCACTTCTGCATCAGCTTCTATTATCAATGTATTTTACCTAACATGTTCTGAGTTAATTAAATATGATTTCTTGAAATAAAAATTTTTACTTAATTATAGTTTTTTAAAAAATATCATTTAATATCAAGATGCTTTCCAACATTACAGGATTATTTTCTCCTGGCATTCTTAGTTTTTTTCATTTCCTCAATTAAGTCTACCTGGTTAGTTATTCTGAAATCAGGTGAACATGACCTTCTTTCATTCTAGCATTCCTTGAAGAAGAAGAAAATTGACAAAGCAGATCAGGGACTTCTAGGAGGAGTAAACTTAGCAGAATTTGGATCCAAATTTATGTAAATTTAAAAGTGTGCAAGTAAAAAATGCCTACTGTAATTATTAGTTTATTTTGAAGATAAAATTTCTTAAAGAAAGTTAACATTTGATTAAAACTTAATGATCTTAATTCATGAAATTCTACTCTGAAAGACAACATACTGCTCCCATATTTTCTTTTATAATTAAACGCACCCGTTTAGTATTTTCAGCCTTTCTGAAAATTTCATAATCTGCTTTTGAAAAACATTATCTAAGTCTTCTTGGTTGGGTGGTTAGATAGTTTAAAGATAACAGATTGTATTTGTGATTGAGGCAGCAAACTAGTTAATTAAATAAAAGTTATAAATAAAAATCAGTAGAACATAACATGTTTAGGAACAGTGCCACCACCCAGGAGAACAATCATTTGCTTATGAAACTAAATAAATACATCTCTGCTGTTTTTATATTAAGATCTTCTTATTGAGTTCTCCTGTTTTCGTAAGAATGGGTGCTGTAAAAAGAGTCCACTAAGAATATTTTAACATTGGGTTGGATTCATTTGTAACCTAAATCTTCCCTTCCCCTAGAAAAACCCATCCCCACAAAAGAGGGGTCTGCCAATTGGCCTAGGTCATAACCTGCTCCATGGGTGAAAAGAATCCCCCCCCCCAAGTATTCAGCTGCTTCTCTCCTTTCCCTTCATACTCTTATACCACAGCTTGTGCCATTCAGCAGCGTATTCTGGTCCCTTCAGCTTTAATTGGCTGAAAAATGAGCTGCTGTCATTCTCATTATGAAGCCATTTCTTTGACTTCATCCCACGCTTAACTGCTTATATGTTTTTTTTAAATGTTGACCGATGTAGTATATATTTTCATGGTGTTCTCAGAAAATAGTGTCTGTCTCTTAACTTGTTTTATGGAACAGATGTAATATCAGTTCCATGAACAATTGTACCTTGAAAGAAATGCAAGCATTTATCAGATTATGTTCCCTGCAGGTTTGTTAGCCATCACTAAATGCAAGAGGAAAAAATGAAATCACATTCTATTTATTGTGCCAGTAATACAAACATTCTTGAGGCTGTAGTAAAATAATGGGATCAGCAAAATGTAAAATACTGAATCACCTATATTTCAAGTATGTCAAAGCCCCGCCCCCCCAAAGTAAATTACATTAAACACACTGTATCGGGGGATAGATCAGATCGGGAAATAATGGGTTTTACAATATTTGTTTTCGACAATCCCCTAAATTAATCTCTACTAAATTTTCAAATCTACACGCTGTTCATAAATATTAGTATCAGTTAACACTTTAGAACAAAGGTTGACAGCCTTTCTATGGTTAAGGGATGAATATTAATGGGAATGAAAGTAGATAAGGAAATGGGGGCTTATGCATAGGGTATTTTGCTGTTAAAAATAGTATAATTAGTTGCAAACTTAAACTTCATACAACCATGCTGTTGATATTTAGTAGTGCACTGTGCTGAGAATTCCTTAAAATAGAACTACAAAAGTTGTGGCTAGTTCACAAAGTCACTTCTTTTTTTAAAATAGGGTGGTAAGCACCTAGGCCACATAATATACTTGATGTCAATATATTGTACTAAACTGACTGCATTAATTATCTCAATAAAATATAATTGTACACAGTTATGCACATACTCATTAGTTTGGAAAATATCAGTCTCCTTTTAAATTTCTCCTCCATTTTAAATTTCAATCAGATTTAGGACTTCTGTGTTTGAATATCTCAAAGTTTGGTTCCCCCCCCCCCTCTTTCTCCAATGTCTTCTGTGTTGATCAAATATATAGGTATTTAAAAGTTCACACATTTGTTGAGAACATGTAAGGGGCAGGGTACTTTCAAGCTCTCATTAAAAATAAGGCCACTAGCATATTTTTAAATGATATTTGGGAGGTACCACTCTTCTGAATTTTTTTTTCTTACAAACATTTTGCTACTACCTACTGAAACATCATTTGGATTTTTATGTAGCATAATTTTACTCATCTAAATTGAATGGTTGAAAAGTTCCAGCTCCTGCTTTAATGCCAAATTCATTTCTTTACTTGATTGAATATATTACTTTGAAGATAATAAGAAGTGAGGAAGTATTGCTCAAGGCACAAAGGTCTTGAGATTAGGGTATTTTGGGTCTGCTTGAGTAATAAGGCTAGATAGTGTTCAACTCGAACGTGAAGAAAGAAATGACAGTCTGAGGTTCCTTTCTCTATTTCTATGCCTAGTTATCATCAAGACTTCCACACTTACCAGTGCTAGGCTCACATATGTAAATGAAAGCTTTCTGCTGAGCAAGACTTTTTCTATAGCACTTGTCTGCCTGAAAACAGGATTTGGTGTTTTGAATAGGCAGAAAGAACATTGTGAAAGTTCTTTGAAGTATGAATTGTAGTTCAGTTTTCTTAATTATAATGTTGCCATTTCTTAAAAGGAAAACATAGTAAGAATTTTTTTTCTTAAGCACTGAAGGATGAGATACTTACAAATGCTGTATACATATGTTACCATTTGCAAATCATATTGTCAAAAAGTGTCTTTGAGATTAAAACTTAAGTTACAGGTTAGATTCTTTGCATTGCAATTCTTTTCCTATGGCAGTGATTGGTCCTAGTAAGGAGCAAATCTGCAGCCCTACCAGTAAGTGGTGAGCTACCTGCAATGTTTCATTCTCCAACCCTACTTGAAAGATCATTTTGAGATGAGCCTTTGTTAGTGAAGCTGAAATTAAACTGATTGTATTTGTAAACTGAAAATCAGACCTTTCAGAATATGTGAATGCTGCAGAACTTTTTAACAGCAATGTGAAGCCTTTTAATAGGTTTTAGTACCTTTTAACTTTGTATCCATCTAAAGGAGATGAGCTTTTACCAAATTGTGGACTTTTGAAGTGGGAAGGAAGATGGTTTTGCAGTATATTTGCAGAATAAAGATAGCCATTGTTTAAAGGGAACAGATTTTATTCAAAAGAGGAAACTTTTGCTTTCACTAGGGCATTTTAAAAATATAGGTTTGAAGCACAAAGATAAAGCTATATATTTTTAATCTATCTTTCTCAATTTTGTGAACTTCAATCCCTAGAATTCCTCCAGTCAGCACTCTTTAAAGTTCATAAGGTTAAAAAAAACCTGTTATATCCAGGGGTACAATTCAACCAGTGAAACAACTGGTTCTGTGAGCGCGTGCACAGAGGGTTTACTACTGACCTTCTTCAGCAATCTCTCTGTGTTAAACAGCTGACCCATGCCAATCCGCTGTGTTGCGTGAATCAGCTGAGCTTGAAAACCAGCATATAAAGACAGACTAGAGCTGGGGCAAGAGGGTGGGCCCAACAGCTGATTGTCGGAGCAAACTGTTTCTCTCACTGGGCTGAACCACTAGAATCCCACCCCTGTTTATATCTTGTAAACAATATCACTCTCTGTACACCTTTCTCTTCTCTTCCCTATCTTGTTTATTTTCCACCTAACCCCATCCTCATCTTGTTTTTTTTTACTTATTTCTCTTTCCTTTCCTTTCTCAATGTAGCCATTCCTTGGTCACATGTGTCCCACAAGAATAGCTATTCAAATAGATATAAAAAGATATAATGAGTTTAGGACATGTTTATAGATGCTAAACTTTTTTCCATTGAAAAAAATGAATCACTATCACCAACATCTAACAGATTTTTATTTTCTCCTTTTTCAATCCTAAAGTTGGTCATCTCTACTACTAGAAACGGCTTTGACCAACAAAGTAAAATTATGTTAATTAACCAACTGAGGATCTATTAGGGAACTAACTTAACTGGCTAATGAAAACTAGCCTTATTAATTAACAGAAATTGAAGAATTTTCATCATAATTAAAACTGAACTTAGGAGAATAGTCTTTGTCATTAGGTATACTTACTTAATTCATATTCCTTGTTTTTGGAGGAGGGAAGGGAAGCTTAATTCATTTGTTGCAATCAAATTTGCTGGGTGGTTGCCATAACCCAGTACTAGAGGTATATATGAAGCCCTGCCATAGAACATTCTGACCCTAAAATAGATTATTCTGATTTTGGTTGTTGCAAATATTTTGGAAGTGGTCCATCTTTGAAGTGGGTTGGTCTTGTCTTCTGAGCATTCTCAGAATGGCATCTTTCACTATTTAACCATTTCTGGGAAACTCAAGTGACCTGTTCTGTGATTGGAACTACCTGTTCCAAAGGTTGAAGGTTCTGTGACAAAGCGTACTGCATCTCTTTGTGTAGTAGTAACATTCAGCCTTGAAGTGAGCAACCACTGTTCTGCTTTCTACAGGTCTATGAGCTTCCCTTTAAGCTTTTTACTGGTAGGTTTTTTTTATTATATTATCTTACTTGATAGGATGAGAAATCATTCCAGGAAATGTACAAAGGTATTATCTGTTTAATTAGTTGTGGTTCTTACTTTTTGTTTCATAGTCAAGGATGCAAAAAAAGATGAAATAAAAGAGCATTACAAAATATGTAATACTCATTTTTAGGACCTTTCTTGTTGCTTTTGTTCAGTGAGTGATATGAGGAATAAAATTAATGTATCTACATCTCATTGGGTTTAAACTCTTTACTATTTTTAGCCTTGGGCAAGCTTTTGTTTATTTTACATGAAGAGCAATTTGAGAAAGAAACTTATAAAGTCAAAATGGTATTACTTGTGCATGTTAAGCAATCAGCAGTCTTGGAGAATCTCAATCGCCCCCTCCCCCCCCCTCACACACACACACAAAGAGTAAGAGCTGCAGTTATGTTGGGTATATTTCAATTACAACTCTATTTAACTGCAGGACTTTATAGGCTGCTCTACTCTGAGGAATATATGGCTCCCCAAGTCTTTAATGTGGGTTAAAACAACTATATAAAAGCCAAAATTTAACTATAATTTAAAATATATGTCTGCTGACATACTTCACAATTGTCTTAGAAAAACATGTAGAAATTATAACTGAAGTTGAAGATGAAATTTTGCCACTTTTTACAATAATACTAAATCTACTTAAATTAGCTCCATTCACAACCAACGCTGCATTTGCACTATGGTACATATGCAAAACTATACTAAACAGCCCTTGAAGCAAAACAAAAGCAATTTATAGAATCACAGTATATGAGAAGATATCTATGGAAAGCTCTGCAAAACTTAGCTAGTAGTGCTTAATTTAACATGTTCCTGTGATACCTAATTTTAAAAAATAGAAATAAAATAGATTTATGATAGCCCATATATAACATGCTGATCAGTTAAAACCCTGATGCATTGTAATTATGCAATGCAAAGTCAATTAATTTGTAATAATTTGTTAAGCAAACCACAATTTCTGAAACATAAGCAATTTATTAATCAGTTTTTAAACCTTTTAACAGCTGATTAGTAATTATAAATTCTGAATGTTGTTTAGAAATTCACATAGTTAAATCATATAATGGCTTAATTACTCTCTTCGCTGTAACTGCCTACCTTCTAATCACATCCTTCCTACCTGCTGAAGGGCTTGAAGGCTGGTTTGTAGATAAACTAAGTTATACAGTAATGGTGCTGTACCATTGTATTTGTGGTTTAGTTTATGGAAGGGGATCCAACCTTTGCATCAGTACATTGGATGGGAAATATTATTGTTTCTTTATTTGTTTGGACATACCTATGTGATCTAACCACTGTGTTTTGTTGTTCTGAATTTATTTTATTTGTAAACCTGCTGAACCATCATTTGCCCTTACTATTCAAGTATTAACACTGCTAACTAAAGTTAGTCATAATAAGTTCCATCAAAATGAAACAAATTAAACATAACTGAAACAGCCCCCAAATCCTCAATCCATACTTCAAGTAAAGTAATTTATTCTAATCAGACAAAGAAAAGTAGCTATAGACTACATAGCAGAAAATAGTGCGTAATCATATTTTATAGCTGATGGACATCAGTACCAGAAGCATATATTTGTATAGCTCTGGTTGTCCTCAAGTATTTTTCAGAATGAAGGGAAGTTTTTCCAACGTCTAATGTTCTGCTTCTGCTTTCATTCTCTAATTCATTATTTGAAATGGAAGCTGTAAGTCTGTATTTCTCTCACACGCAAAAGGAAATGTGTGTTTATCAAATATGTTAGATCCAGGTAGTTTTGCTAATATAATGACAAATATTAAGTTTGAATTTGGACACCTGATAGCATAATCTAAATTAAATGGTGTATTCATGTTTAAAGATGATTAGTAAAATCTAGGTTTCATGCTATATGTGCAACATAAAAGCTTTTAGGGATCTTTCAAATCAATTTTCCATGAGAGCCAATTGATATAGTGGTTAAAGCATCCGGCTGGAAACTAAGAAACCATGAGTACTGGCCCTGCCTTGGGCACAAAGCCAGTTGGGTGAGTTTGGGCCTGTCATTTTCTCCCAGCCTCAAGGAATGAGACAGTGGCAAACCTCTTCAGAAAAATTGCAGAGACTTGTCTCTAGTCTCCGAAGAGTGGGCACAGTTGAACAGAAAAAAAAAAAGCAATCTTCTAAGGATTGGTTGATGATTACATTTCAAGAGTTCACAGAATAGTAACATAATTTATCAAAGTAATTTATCTTTTATTTGCTTTTCCCCCAGTTACATTTATATTTTTTGGTTGGTAATAGATCTGGACTGAATTAAGCAAAAGGTTTTCAGCAGCCTAGCTTGTGTAAATTGTGTTTGCTTTATCTAAGATTGGTTGAAATAATGACTACTATACTTAATATTCAAAAATTGCTGTGACACTAATCTCAGGTGAGAAGTCCCCAGGGATTTTGCAGATGGTATTTTATTTATGGTTGTTGAGTGTTTGTTTTGTGAAGTCTAAATACTCTGTTTACTGGTGTAGTCTACTGTGGGTGATCATTATAGAGCTATCAGGGAAAAGAAATCATGAATAGAAAGTTAGATAGGCTGCATCACAGAATTATTATATGTTTTAATAGTGAACCTTTTTTCTCAGCAAACTGCAACAAATTGAACAGAAGTTGAGTGAAAATAAAATCTTTGTTTTGTACTTTTGAAAATGGAGTAAATAAAGTGGGAGGCTAGTTTGGGTTTAGAGTAATATAATGTATGGCTACAATTATTGCAGGTTTTGTTAATGTTGAATTAACATGTTGAAATATCTTTTGACACATATAAAACTATTTATAGTTAAGTTATAATTAAACTGATCCAACCACAAAGGTTTTTAAAAAAATCTAACTTGTATGCTCCTCCGTTTGTTGTGATATATCTATGTATGTTGTTATTATATTTTAATTTTATGCTACAGAAGCTTAATTGCATTACCAGATTTAATGCATTTTATGTTCTTTTTAAGCAGTATATTTTTCCTGAAGCCAATTCTAATTTACTTTGGAATAATTTAATATAAATTGTGAGCTTTATTTATTTTTATTTATTTTAAAATATTATTAAATATATTTACAAACTGTTAAAAGTCCACTGATATAATAAAAACGATTAAATCATTGCTATGTACTATAAAAGTAATGAAATCAATTTCTGGAAAAATCTTCTGAATTCTTCTTTAGTATTCAGTATGTCTCACCTAAGTAAACCTAAATTAATTTTTTAACTCTTTTGGACCACTTGACAGTGTAAAGTTAAGTTTATTTATGGTTAGTTACTTTTAGTTTTAAATATTTAAATATATAGTTAGTTTAAAATATTTATCTAAATATTTAATTTACATAAATGAAAATATTTAGAATGCAATTTTGTTATTTATCCAAAATTGTTTTAAACTTTATTTATGTATGTTGGCTTTATACTTAATAGTATAGCAAGGGTAAAATTACCACTACAAACGTATATATTATATTACATGAATATTTTATGATTGCATATTATTTTTTGTCCTAAAATGTATTTGTTCTCCATAGGTGGCTGACTGTGCTTGGGATGAAACTGTGAAGATCTATTATCCATCTTCATTGGTAGTTCCTGCATAGAAAGATTTCTCAATTGCAAAGAACTGATTTATAAGAAATTATTTTTGTTTTTCTTGGGCATCTGCCATATTATGCCTTACTAACAATATTAGACTTTAATATGAGCTTCAAAATTTTAAACATGTGATTAAGGACCGATTCATATAACATCTTTCTTAGAACGTGGACTGGATAGCAAAATGATCACTCACTGTGTGCAGAATATACAATTATGTAAATTATCAACAGGCAACCTAGAAACTTCCAAATGTTTTGATCCAAAGCGTTTAACAGTTCCAAATAGCACGATTATTGTCAAGAGTTAGTGGAAATTGTACTCCAAGACATCTGGATGGCACTATAATACTATTCCTCTTGTAAATATTAGGTACAGTTTAGGAACTGTGTCTTATATTTATAAGAGTTAAAAATACAAATTTTATTGCAGTTTTAAGTATTCTTACTGTTAAAATATAGCATTTATCATAAAAGAATGTATCAGTATTAAACTGAGTTCATTATGGAGTTTCTGTGCAATAATGTATTATAATATGGCACATAGTTCACTCAGTTGATAGTTGTACAGTCTGAGTTTTATCTTTTTGTTTGTAAGATAAATTTTATAATCATTTTCTTGACCACAGTTAATATATTTTTGGATTCTGTTATTTTGAATTAAACTATGATTGAACTAAAATTACCAAATTCTGAAGAAAAAAATGAACAAGACCTTAAGGCCAGAATCCAGACAAACTAGAAGGAAGGGCCAAAATGCCTAAGACAAAAGACAGTTATACCATTAACATACTTATCCAAATATAGATATAGATATAGATCTATATATATCTTTAGATACTTTCTGTATATAGATACTTTCTGTGTTTGGCATTTACTTGCTACAAAGTAATCCCTTTTTATGTGGTATTAAACATTGTGCATATTTGAATGAGAATTATTAAAATGAAGAGTTATCTGTTTCAAAAGTCAATTGATTAATCCATCACAGATAATTTAAACTCCCCACAAAGCTACCTGTCATTGATTTAATGGTGTCACAGTACAGAATGTCTTATAACAGTGAACTAAACTATTTTGAAAAAGTTACCATTGCATATGTTTCTTTTTTGTACCATGTGTAAAGTGAATGTTTATACTGATTAGCAGCTGACAGCCTGGTATCATCAGGTTGTGTTAGGATCTTACCAATATTGTTTCCCTCAGCCAGCTTACCAAAGATGGTGGGAAGTATAATACAACTCACTTGGAAGATGCTAAGTTGTAGAAAGTCAACAAATATCTCCTAACAAAAAAGTGTTACTCTCTGGAGCTCAATCTAGTAATATGTGTGGTACTACTTATGAAGTATGGCAGTGAACTTTAATATTAATACAGTCTGGCTTTCACCAACCATTGAAAATATAATTGATAGAAATGTGATAGTAAAATTGGTTTTCATCTCCTTGATCAGAAATGAAGAAAAAGTCCAAGATTCCAAAGTAGCCAAATGTGTAGCTACTGGCAAGTTGACATCTGTGCCAATTGTAACTAGTAGAATAGTCACATTTTCAGAACTGAACTTCCCTTATAAACTCTTTTTTAAAACTCAGTATACAGTACCATCAATTTTGAATATAGTTTCATCTGCAATGACCTTTTATGCTGTTCATTAGCCATGTTGAATAAAGTTCATGGGAAATTGTCTGGACAGCCAGTTTTTCTGGAATAGAGTTAAATAGAGTTGAGCAGAGCTGAGAACCTATTCCTGTCCAGATTGTAGCATTGATCAGTGAGACTTGATTTTGGTGTTCTTAATGTTGGGACAAGATTTTTTTACTATATGATGCAGTTTGTTACTCACTTTCTGCAAATCACAGAGGGAGCTTGCCATTTTAAATACTTATGTACATTTTAAAATTTGAGTATTTATGATTACTAACTTTTCATTCCTAGGTACAAATTTCAACAAATATTAAGTGCTGTAGAGACTTGTTCTTGCTTTGTTCAACTTTTAGTTTTGATTTATTATGGGCCATTAGTTTGTGTCAACTCTTAGCAACAATGTAGACCTTCATATCTTAGGTGATCCTGAAGAAATTATATATTTTTGGTATATACTTCTGTGTACCATGATGGTGCAGTGGTTGGAACACAATACTGCAGGCTAATTCTGCTGACTGCCAACAGTTCGAGTCTCACTGGCTCAAAGTTAACTCCAGTGTTCAATCCTTTCGAGGTTGATAAAACTTGGACCCAGATTGCTGGGGACAATATGCTGACTTTGTAAATCGCTTAGGGTTGTAAAGTACTATGAGGTGGTATATAAGTCTAAGTGCTATTGCTATCTTTCTTTGACCCTTTCAGGAATGCTCCTCTGCCCCAATGGCACATCACATTGATGGATGGAGCTTAGTTTCTATATAAGTTTTCAAATAATAATTCATATTTTTGGAGTAAGAGAAAAAAGAATTATCAGTTTCTTTGTAGATTTGGTTTAATTGCTGAATCTTTTTTGACCCACAAGCATCCAACACGTTTATAGTTATCATAAAGGATAGATAAAATACAAGTATTTCTAGAAACAAAATTCTACAAGTAGTTAATATGCACGTAAAGATTAAAAAGGCACAATTTTATATAAAAAAGTCACTCAAACAAAAATTTGATTAATATGTATCAATTTTATGTAAAATATAAATGCTTTTGTTTTTTTAAAAAGATTGCAGGAGACTGAAGCATCACAAACACTTGTAATTTTTTCAGCCAAGAAATTGCATAGAAATATAACATTATTGCCTGTAGCTATTATAATGCTCAAATAGAACTATCTATTTCCAGTACTAATACCACTTCCTTTTATCTCTTTCGCATGGACATTGTATAAACAAGATGTTACAGAAAACAGATTTAATGAAATGTTCTATAAATTGTAAGAAAAGTAAATTACTGGAAAAAGAAAAATGGCAACCCTATAGTCTAAATGACTTAATAACTTGGCAATATCTGTTCTTTACATTCTATAGCTACAAGAAAGTGTTTAATTAAATTTAATTAGCCCTCCACCCTGATTTTCAGCTTTTTTGCTATAAACTGTTTCACCTTTGCTTTCTCTTTCAGTGATGAATAAATCCAATAAGAAATTTGCTGGTAAAATATAAATGTAATGTGTCCTTTAACAAACAATTTAAAAAATGATACTACAAACATCTTGCAGCATAATAAAAATATTTTACCAGCACCAGTTACAAAAAATCAAATTTAATTCTTCAAGCATGATTCTTTTTTTTTCTTTTTTAATGCTGCAGCTTTTAAGGTTTTACTGCAGTATCTTCAGGTCTTTCAGTAACATTCAAAAATAGTCTTTTAAGTCAGCCCTGTAGGTCTATAATCCTATTTCATATTTTCCTCACTAGATGCCATGAAAATGTGAGATTTATATGGAACTATTCAGAATGTTTATCACAGTATGCTTTTTTAATTATTGTGAACACAGACTGAAGTTACTGTTGCTGGAGGATTAATTCTTACAATGAGATTTTACCATTATGAACAGTCACTGAACAATCTATCAGATCAAAGGTATAACAGTTTGGTTTCCTAAATGAACAATCCATGATCCAGTTAATTCCATATTTCAAGCTCCCTTCAGGGGATGAACGTTGCTTAGTGGTGCACTAGAATATTCAACAATTTGTTGGTAAGACTTAATGCCCACTTTGACTTGATTTCTTCCAGGATGTCACTGTCTACTGCTCCTATCATTTCCCTAACCTGCTGCCATCCAGTTATTATAGGATTACCATTCATTCAAGGCAGGCAGGCAACCAAGCAAGTATGTTTAGAATGTGTACTTCCTGACTTTCCTCCAGGGAGCTCAAGAGAATTATATGATTCTCTTCCCCCCCTCTCCTCCCCCCCCCTTTTCAGTTTAAGCTTAATCATTAAGTGGGAATTTAAACTTATGCTTGTGTATTTAGTGGAATCTCAGCAGTGCTTACAAGTTAATATCAAGCTCTAAATTCCCTCTAATTCTTTCTGTTAGTTAGTCACTGCTTTGGTTAATTTTCACAGAGAAAAAAAATCACCCATTCTCGGTTCTACTATTAAGTGCATTGAAATGACTTGGGCAGAGAAATCACTGTTAAGTGCCTTGCTTTGGAAAAGAAAATACAAAAATATTCCACTTCTTTCACACACAATCTACATCTTTTATCCAAAGCAGAATTCACTAAACGTCTTCATTCAGAGAAAGGGGGAAATAGGAGGAAAGTGGTTATATGTAGATAGCTTTATACGGTATGGGCTGAAAGATACAGTGCCGACAAAACCTCCCTGCATTTTCTTTATGCCTCTTTATTTCTTGATTTGATTTCATTTTTTTAACCTATGCATATCTCATCAGCGGAGGACTATTTTGAAGATGAAATGAGTCCAGGCTGGAAAGTGTTGCAATCATCTTCTGTTATCTGGTAGTAAACAAAACAAAACAAAACAACTCTTTAATGCAGGTGCTATTTTCTCTACATTTGATTTTCTCTTAGGAATCCAAATTATTTGCTTATAAATTTTCCTATTTCTCATCTGTGGGTCACACAAAGAAGGGACGGGGGAAATAAAAAAAATACCCCAACATCTGAGTAGCATACAGAATACAGATTGGAGAGATGATAAAATTGGACCTGTAAAAGGGCATGGCTGGCAGGCTGATTGATTAGAATCACTAGACTGTAATAGGCTGTTGCAGGTCTAACTCTAAGAATGAGAAGGGGGCGGGGGAAGAATTGCAAAGGAACAATGGTGGGAAATGACTGGCAATCTATAATGGTCTACGGCCATTATAAATGATGGACTGATTGACAATGGCAATCCTTGTCTCACATTTTGTCAGTATTGCTTTAAAAGAATGATCATTTCTTACAGCCCCAATAAAGACCTTCAATGCCTATGACTTTTATTGAATCAATTATAAAGTAGTGGAGGAATATACAGTAGGCTTTTTTGACCACCATGCCCTGTATGTTTAATTTTCTTTCTTCAAAATCACCATAAAATATGAGATTTCAGAATTAAAAAAAAGATTAGCAGATCTTTCAGTTGGTTCCTTAGTGCGTTTTAATGGCAACGGTTTTTCTAACATCATAGGGTCCTGTTTCCGTTTAAGATCTTATCTTCTTTCTGCTATATAAGCCTCCAGTTCCTAGTTTCCAACATTACTATAAAATCTGACATCATAATTATATCCAGAAAATGCTTTAGGTATTTATCTCAAAACTACCCAAAATAAACGGAAGCAAATAATAACAGTTGCCCCCATTCCCCCCACCCCCAAAAAGGTCCAGCTAATAAGATTTTGAAAGTCATGTAAAATAAAACAATTAAAAACAATTTTGAGTTTAAAAATCCAGTAAATACACCAGAAGCATGAAATGGCCTGCAGCACAATTCTACTGGAGGAAAACGGGATTAAAAAAAAGAACTAAAGCAAGTGGAGGCCATATAACTTTATTTAATTAGTTAATTTAAAAGGGCAATTGAAGCAAACAGCAATGGCAAGAGATGAAGTTCTAGATCATGTGATAAATCCCCATTGTCAAATCCATATGGATTCTCAAGAGTTCTCAGCTTGAATATGCAATTGCTATAGTCAGACACTTAAATTGCTTTGTTGTTTACAAGGATTGGTAATGGCCCATGGTTTGGGGAAATGCTAGTTTGTGACATTTAAGTCTGTCCTTGGAGCTACCTTTTGCAGAACCTCTGCTGTACCTTCTAATTGAAATCAGGCCATTAGCCTGCTCTCCTGCTATGTATTTCCTGGCTGCTGAGAGAGGACCTGTGTCAGTACAGAGAGTCAGCCAAACCATAAAAAAGGCAAGAAATAGGGTTGGCAATGAGACCGTATCCTGGTACATCATCTGAGGGCAGCAGGTGTAGAGCAGGCTAGAAACCAAGAGACTTAGGCCTGAAAGCCAACTGGGTGAACTTGGGCCAGTCACTCTCTTTCAGCCCAACCCACCTCACAGGATTGTTGTGGAGAAAATGGGGAGGAGGGTTAGGTGTATTCAACCCATAATTTTTTTGTAAAAAAAAATTAAAGGTGGGATTAAACACAAAATAAAAAAGCCAACTATATAGAACATAGGATGCTCTCTTGTCATCAACCATCCTTTGGGCACATGAGCGCTATGCAAACCAAACCCCTGGGTGCGTTTCTCTTACCATTCCATACCAAGAATATCTCTGTGATGTAAATAACCAAGCAGTATTATTATTCATCAAGTTTATATTTTATTTTTAAAAAGTCTTCAAAACTCATGTACAGCATGGGTATTTGTTGGTTGTACAAATATACTAGTATCTATAGGAGCTATATCCTTTCAGGGGTTCTCCTTTAGATTGCCAATCTGTTAATTTAGACCAGAGTTTCTCAACCTCAGCAACTTTTAAGAAATGTGGGCGTTGACTTCCAGAATTCCCCAGCCAAGCACGCTTAGCTGGGGAATTCTGGGAGTTGAAGTCCACACATCCTAAGGTTACTGTGGTTCAGAAACATTGATTTAGATTGGGGGTCTTCAAACTTGACAGCTTTAAGGCTTGTGGACTTCAACTCCCAGGATTTTTCCTCCAGTCATGTTAGCTCAGGATTTCTGGGAGTTGAAGTCCACAAGTTTTTTTTGAAGACCCTTGATTTAGATGAACAGGAACATTCCCCACTTCCTTTCACTGTCGAATAGGCAAAGAATGGGGGGAGCGGGGGGGGAGGACCAATCATCAGAAAAAAAGAATAGTCCACATAGTTTCACATCTTAGGTTGTTAACTGTAGCCTCTGGACCACCAGAACAAAATGCAGCATGATTCTTCGACTTTCTAATTTTATTGTGGAAAGGAAATAATATATTTTGCGTGTCTGTATGTCTAATCCTATTGAAATCTGCTCTAAATGCTCTCTCTGGCTCTTCCCAATGCCCTTAAACCTGTCCATCTCGGGGCAGGGATGTGCAACCAATACTCCTACCAAAGGGCTCTCTGCAAGCAAGCAATTCAGAGCTTTAGCAAGAGAGACCTACTCTTGCCTGCTGCCGAGGAGGCATTGTGAGATAGCACAAAATAGACCAGAAAGTGTCGGAAGGGGGTGGGAAAATTGGTCTCAGAATAGAACAGCATTTTGGACTTTGCCCAGCTCACTGCTGGTGTCCAAAAGTCGTCTCACCAATAAATCTGTACAGATTCCTCCTACAGCTTCTTCCCCAAAACTGCTGCTTTGATCAATTATCTCCCTGATTTGAAAGTCTTTGGAGGTGTGTGTACCTCTGCCTCCCCGACTGTCAAAGAAAACAGGACCACAAGGAGTTGGAAGAAACGCTCCTCTATCATGATGAAGGCCTCCAGGTTCAGTCAGAGGCAGCCTCGGTAGCCCCTCCAAGAGCAGTTGCTAGGGGGACAGGCAAGAAGAAGGGACGGTTGCCATTTGCCTTATTCAAATTGCGAGCTTCCCGGCAAGGGCGCACAAGTTGGGCTGCTGGAAGCAAAAGGCTAACGCTCGGCCAGACTAACCTTTGAATCTCCCCATCTGCTTCTGCAGCGAACGCCCCCTGCGCAATAATAGCCCGGGAAGCAGGCGAAAGATCAGGCTGCGCGTTGCCCACGAGAAAGGGCTTCCCGGGTTCCAAATCGTTGGCGAGGAATTGCGCTTGCAACCGTTTAGACGATTGTGGCAAAAGCGCGGGATTTCTTTTCTAAGCCCGAGGAAGAGCTTGACCGTCTAAGCCAGGGGGTCTCCAACTTTACTTTGTGGACTTCAACTCCCGGAATTCCTCAGGAATAGTGCAAGTTGAAGTCCACAAAGTCGTAAAGTTGCCAAGGTTGGAGACCCCTGGGCCCTTAGCCACGCATTCGACTTCTAGAACTGTCCAGCGTCGTTCCAGAAGAGCTGGCTTTGGGCCAGGGCTGGGCCTCTTTCATCAAGGCAGCGGGGTCCATTTCCAAAGCCATCTCTTAGGCGGCTGGTGGAACCCTGTCTCCAGTTCAGTGGGTGTGGGCCTCCTGGGCCCATGTGGCTTGGCCAACCTTTCCCAATCCTGGTGCCTTCTAGATGTCGCGGGCTACCATTCCCTGTAAGGCTGCTGAAGAAGGCTCTTCCAGTCCTATAAATTATAAGTGACTCCGGAGCGTCGCCTGTCTGTGATTCGCTTCCTTTTACTACTGGAATACGATCGCTTCCCATCACTTCAGGGCAACTAATCTTTGCTCATTCCCTTTGCGGCGGTTTCTTCTTCCTTTGCGGCGGTTTCTTCTTCTTTTCGCCTCCCCCCCACTTTTTTCGCCTTCCCCCTCTCCCCCACTTTAAAGTGGGAAGTTATTTCGAAGAGGAATTTGGAAAGAGGAAAAAGAGAGAGAGAACGGGAGAGGGAGGGAACGAGAGAGAGAACGAGAGAGAGAGAGAGAACGAGAGAGAGAGGGAGAGAGAACGAGATAAGGAGAGAACGAGAGAGAGAGGGAGGGAGAGGGAAAGAGAACGAGAGAGAGGACGAGAGAGAGAGTGGAGAAGAACAAGAGAGAGGGAGGGAGAGAACGAGAGAGGGAGAGAACGAGAGAGGGAGGGAGGGAGAGGGAAAAAGAACGAGAGAGAGGACGAGAGAGTGGAGAGAGAACAAGAGAGGGGGAGGGAGAGAACGAGAGAGGGAGAGGACGAGAGAGAGAGAGAGAGGGAGGGAGGGAGGGAGAGGGAAAGAGAACGAGAGAGAGTGAGAACAAGAGAGAGAGAGAGAATGAGAATGAGAATATCCTACATGCACAAAAGATTTGCTTAAGATTTGCTTCCCGTGCGCTTTGGTTACCTTCCTCGGTCTTGCTTGCCCCGCGCCTAATCCAAGCTACTTCCCCTCAAAGGGTTAACTCTCGCCGCTACTTTCGAAGCACCTGTTTCTTGAGCTTGGCAGAAAACCGGCCAAACTCGGCTGGATCGATATTTGCATTTCCGTATAAGGACACTAACCCTAATTAATTGAATAAGGACGGATGGCTATTCCATTAGCAAATTGTGCGCGGAAAAGCATCGACGGGGAACCGGGTTTCGCAGCCCGGTTTTCGCTTTGTTTTGCCACCGCGCTCCTGCGGTGCAAGGGCGAACCCGGGTGAGTGAGTGGTTTTTTTTGTGCTGACGAGACACGGCAAAGGCAACCGTCGAGTTTTGTGCATTAAAATATATATTTATTTATTTAACACGTGGGGAGAGGGGGGGAGGGTCGCCCCACCCTCGGACCTTTAAAAAAAAAAAAAATTCAGCCCCACTCTTCCTCTCCTTCCTTTTTCTTCCAGGAACAAAGCAGACCCGTGATTCATAAAAGCCAGAACAATCTCAGCGGGTCAAGTGGGAAGCGCGGCCAATACGCTCTTCCGATTGTCCCCGTTTCATTAAGGTAATGGGAAGCGCCGGGGCACCCAGCCCCCCTCTGCGTCAGCAACAGCAGCTGGGGGATCTGGTAGGCTGCCGGTGGCCGAGTCTGCGGAGACATTTCCCAGCGGATCCTGCCCCCCCTGCCGCCCACCACGATTGATCACCGACCGTCCCCCTTCCGCCGCTAAGCCCTCCGCCGTCAAGCGGCTGCGCTCGGGGGCTTGCCGGCAAAGTTGTCTCTTGCTTCTTTCCGAAAGCTGCTCAGGCGCGGAGCCCCCTGGCACCCCCGGAGGCTCCCAGCCAGGAAAGGAGCGCCGCTCTTTCCCGTGCCTGAGGGAGAGAGAGAGAGAGAGAGAGAGAGAGAGAGAGAAAGAGGCGGGAGCGGAGCGCCGACGGCTTGGGCGGTTAGGAGCCGGTGTGTGTGTGTGTGTGTGTGTGTGTGTGGTGTGTGTGTGTGGTGGTGGGGGCAGCATGCAGCTGTGCCGGGGCCGCGCGTTGGGCATCTCCGTGGCGGTGGCGCACGGGGTTTTCTCCGGCTCTCTCAACATCCTGCTGAAGTTTCTCCTCAACCGTTACCACTTCACCTTTCTGACGGTGCTGCAGTGCCTGACCAGCTCCACGGCGGCGCTCAGCCTGGAGGTGCTGCGGCGGCGGGGCGCCCTGCAAATGCCGCCCTTCAGCTTCAGCCTGGGGCGCGCTTTCGCTGGGGCCACGCTCCTCTCCACGCTGCAGTCCAGCCTCACCCTCTGGTCCCTGCGCGGGCTCAGCCTGCCCATGTACGTGGTCTTCAAGCGCTGCCTGCCCCTCGTCACCCTCCTCATCGGCGTCCTGGTGCTCAAGAACGGCATCCCCTCCCTCGGGGTGTCGGTGGCCGTCCTTATCACCACCTGCGGGGCTGCTCTGGCAGGTGAGTGCGAGCCAGAGGAAGAGGCGCCACGCGGCTCCTCGGCAGCCCAGCTCCCTTTCCTTGCACCAGGAGTTTTGTAATTCCTGCTCTGTCCCTTCTCCCGGCCCTCCCCCCTTCCCTCCACTATTGCCCTCCATATAATCCCCCTTCCTGTCATTCTTTTCATACTTGCTCCCACCCCAAACCTTGGCACACACATTTCACCTTCTATCTCCTCTCTCTCTGCTCAACCTACCACCACCCCACCAGCCCCCTCTTCAATCTTCATTTGCTTTCCTCTTCCCCTGCTCCCACCAGTTATGTCTTACCCCTTCCAGGTTTCCCTGGTTTATGATTACACTCCTATGGGACTCTAGACCAACCACCTCATAGTTGCTGTGCTCAACAACAAGTATTCTCCCCCCCCCCCACCATCCCATTAATTTTTCAGTCTGTCTTCTCATAGTTCATATCTTTGCGTCCTGATGTCCTTTCTTGTGTGTTGTTTTAAATTCTCTTCCATTCCTACCAGGATAGGTGCTGTTCACACTCCACATGCTTTGGCCCCCTTTTTTCTCACCTAATTCTACCTCCCCCCCAAAAAAACCTTACAGCCTCCGTTCTACACATTTTAAGGCTTTGATTGGTACTTTGGGATATGAAGAGCAAACCATCAAAGTCCTGGCCTTTGCTTTTCCCCATCGTGCCTCCTCCCAAAGCTACATACAATTAGCAGAGTCTTCTTTTGGTCTCCCCCATATTCTGCTGGCAAGACTTCAGGTCTTCTGGTACCTGCTGCTTCCTAAGCACAACCCTATGTGCTTAGAAGGCACAACCCTATGTGAACCAAATGCATGGGGCAGATATGAAGGCCATTCAGTTACTGGTGCCTGGCAAAAATAGAAATGCTTAATATATACAGCTGTGTGCACAAACCTTAAGGTAAAGTAACCTGCCTTCCCTCCTTCTATAGCCTTAGATGTATCCTGGCTAAAAATGTAATAATGCACTGTGTGAAGCTGTCCATTTCTAACCTTAGTTCAGCTGTGCTACTTTCTGCTTTTGATTCCATACCAGCTCATAGCACACTTCCTCTGTCTTTCAATAATAAAAGTTTATGGGGTTCCCATGTGCTTTTTCTCCCATGATAAATGCTCATTTATCCTTCAGCTTATGAAGGCTGAAGCAGTCACATGTTGTTTTTTGGCTGCCATATATATATATATGTATGTATGTATGCGTGTATGTGTGTGTGTGTGTGTGTGTGTGTGTACACACACACACACACACACACACACACACACACACACA